AAAAAAAAAGAGGACTTTTGAGTGGTTTTTAGAGGGTTGCAAAAAAGCGGTAGATTTTGCTTCCTGGGATCTGCTGAAACTTGTGCTTCTTTAATTAGAAGTTTTGAGATGGTTGCAGAAAATGGAGGAGATTTTGTTTGAAAATGATGCAATCTGCAGAAAAGAATACAACATTAGTTAATACGTAACATCAAAAATGCTGAAAAATAACGTAAGTGGAGAAGGAAAATGGGGATTGGAATGTATAAGTGTAAAGCCACATAAACAAGAAGCTTATGATCATTTACTTTACCTCAGAAAATATGGAGTAACGGAGAGAAGAATGAAGGAAGTGAAAGTAGTGGAAGCTGGAAAAACAGTTGTTTGTGTAGTGAAGGCAGTTGTTTTGCTGAGAAAGGCTATAAATAGTGCTGGACGCCTGCAAGTCTGGCACTGCCTTGAATCTTATATAGCGCAAGAAATTGAGAAATTAGAGAGATGGCACTTCATTGCTGTCCTAACCAATAAAAATTTGACAACTCATCAGTCATGTAATGCAATGTTAAATTTTTTTTAAATAATGATCCACGCGTCTCGAACGTAATGGCTATGAGGATTGGTTAGTGGGGATCAGTTCCTATAAATTGTATATTTGAGACTTACAGATTTTTTTTTTTTGTTCTCAATATACTTAATATAATAAATGTAGTACTTTCTGTTAGAAAACTTTTTTTAATAATAGACAAAGAATATTTTTATAACTTTTGTTTTAATTTTTATATAATATTAAATAATTATATATAATATTATAAGTTTTAATAAAGTTAAAAAATCAATTATTAAGTGATAAATAAGGTTTTATAAAAAAAATTGTATTAAAAATTTTTTTCAATTATTTTTTTAACATATTATTTTTAATAATCCACTTTATTTCAAATAATGAAAAATAAAATTAAAATATACAAATTAATTGCAATAATAATTGATATTTTTAATCTATATGCATAATCAAAATAAAATAATTATTGTGGAGGCAAAGTGTTTATCAATTTAATTTTTAAGATAATTAAAGATAAAAATATATTAAAATTATGTAATTTCATTAAATTTTATTAACAAATTAAAATAATATATTTTTAAAAGATGAATGAGTTTGTTTTTGCTTTTTCAATTAAAAAATATAACTTAATTGCAATAATAATTGATATTTTTAATCCATATGCATAATCAAAATAAAATAATTATTGTGGAGGTAAAGTGTTTATCAATTTAATTTTTAAAATAATTAAAAAA